TGGTACAGCCTAGGCTATATTTATGAGGTATTATTTTGGTTAAACAAGTCACGATTAGAATTAAACAAAAAATAATAAGAAAAAAGAACACAAGCCTATAAAAACTTTATTATATCCAAAGATAAGAAAACAACATATAAAATCAAGCAATTATTACAAATGAGCAAAGCAGTACAGTTACTATTAAAATTAAATAAAAAATGTTCCTTTATATGTTCTGTACAACCTGCGTCTTGTAAAAGTTTTAGTGGAATAATTAGGATAGAAAAATTCTGATTGTATTCATACCAATGAAATCGGAAGTTATCGCAAGAAAATATTAATAAACAAATATATTTTACAAATATTAATTTGAATTTATTGCATATAATTTCAGTGAAACAAGATACTAATATTAAAAATGATAAAATTGATATAATGAATATTATCAATGATAACATTTTTAATCTGCATAATCGCCTTTTAAATAATGACAATAGGTATATGAAAGTTACTCTAAAGCCTAAGCGAATAGGAGTTGCCAGGTAGCTAATTTCACCCGACTATCGCGAATTTTAAAGCTACATATGTCATATAAGACGCAGGGGAATTTTAAAAGATATCTTTAGTAAAAGTGTGCGTCTTATATGCCGTCAAATACGGTATTTTATTTACCTGTTATAGATTATTTTATTTACCTGTTATAGATTATATTATTTACCTGTTACTATGGGATCCTTGGAATTGTATAAACTTCAATCTTTCAAAGATTTCATCTTATTTCTTTTTTTCTTTTTTTTTGTCTTGCTGATTTTACCCAAGGCGGGAATAACACTAGTACGCAATGGATTACACAGAGTGAAAGTGAGAGAAAAGACTGTGTATATTGGAGATTGAGGAAAGGATAAAAGATGAATTGTATTCAAGAAGATAGAAGATGGGACTGACGTTGCAGTTAGATCTTTGAAGATTGTAGTTTTCGGTGAAGCAAGTAAACGGAAGTCACATTGTCAGGGAGTGCGACTAAAGAAACTGTTGCAATAGAAGTGGTGGTTACATTGAACTATTTCAACGGTAAAAGGGTGGGATCTAGATGCCAATCTATTAGCATGCTTAAATTTATGTAGACGGGGCACCAGGAGAAAAAAGCTCGTCAGTGTAGTTGCCATGAAAATATTTGTAGAAAAGACAGAGGGAAGCCACGCTACGTCGGTGAGAAAGTGACTGAAGTCGAGACGCCAAGTCAGGATCGATTAAATTGCAAATCCTTCTTTGAATTTTCTTTGACATTATCTATCAATCTATCATTTTTGTTTTATTAATGTTCCCCCACTACAAGGCACAAGAGCTACTCAAGGTAGAGGATTACTGTATAGAGTGATATGAGCCTAATTGGAGATACCAAAATTAAACCGGTACAGAAACTGAAATGTGACAACGAAATCCAAAGTCTTATTAAAATAAAAAAGGTGCATTACATAAACTAAAATTGATTTTTTTACGGCTTATCAACCTTTCGCAGGTTATTTAAAGCCAGGAAATATTTTTTAGATTGGAAGAATTATTTTTTTGGAGAGACTGGTTTAGAGATACAAGTATTACTAATTAACTCATATTTGGGGGAGAAGAAATGGATTAATACTTTCCCCAAGGGAATTTGCGTGTAAGTGAATATAACGAACCCAACTGGAATTCGAACACTGTTCTTTGTTTCCGAGCCATTATACATTACACCAACCGCACATCCAAGATTACAGCACTTGGTATTCCTAAACGGTCACCCATCTAGGTACTGACCAGTCTCAACATTGCTTAACCAATGTTCCACAAACTAAAACTACTAAAACCAGGAAACATAACAGTAACGATCTGTTATGTTCTACCAATCCTCTCTATGTGGCAATGAATGTTGCAATGTTTACTCACAGATGAAGAGGTGACTTCAGGCAACAGAGATGTGGTTCTACAGAAGGATGCTGAGAATACAATAGACGGTATATGTAAGAAATGTGAAAGCTTTAAGAAAAATGGAAGAAAAAGAAAAGAACGCGTATAGTTAGAATAAAAAAAATGCCTGGGACACATAATGAGGAAAGGATGATCGGAGAATTTGACACTCACAGGACATTTTTTTTAAGCGTTTCCCCCCAAGCAAGGCGGGAAGCCACAAGCACGCAAGGGGTTACAGAGAGTTTGGAGCAAGAGCAAAGAGGAGTGATAGAGGAAAGGATGAAGAGAAAGATAGGGGATAGATCAAGGCATCTGTAGACGTCGATTGACATTACATTTGAATAGTTGGGGATTATAGCTATCTGGAAAACAGGAAGAGGGGAGGGAGTTCCTGTGACGTCGTCCCCTGGTTGCAGCGCCAACTGTGACGTTCTATCCTGATCTACCACGGCACCAGTTGTGACGTCCCCAAACAGTACCAATTGTAACGTCCTCGCCGCGGCGCCAGCTGTTCGCTCCTCGCTGCTCCGTTCGGGTGTCGCTGCTCCAAACGTGACGTCCGCCTGTCGCGTCAGTCGTGTTGTCTCGTCCTGTGACGAGCAACTGGCTTGGTATCGGTCGCGGCACCCAAATGTGACGTTCTAACCCTTTGGTGATTCGGGTGGGAATCTGGTTAGATTTGATATCAGCCTCGTCGTTCCCAACTCGCTTCCAACGCCTGATTACCAAGGTAACTGCATTGATCTCCAGTCTGCCTACCCACGTTGTGAATTGATCTTAGGCAGACTAGATCAATCAGTAGTCGGGGCCGTAATGCAAACTGAGTTCAACGGGGGTGATACCACACAAATATGCATAAAAGAAAAGAAAATGAAAACTCAAAAAGTTCAAAGTATCAAAAAAAAAGGTAACAAACTTTATGTCTAGTTGTTCGATAGATAGGACTGCATCTATCTCCCGACCCGTTCTGTGGATTATGACACGTCGTTTTCCGTTAGGCAAGTTTTAACGCTTCAAGTTGTTTGCTCTCTAAGAAATTGGTGTTTCGGTGTGTCTTTGGACGAAAGTCGAAAAAAACTTATTTCGGTGGTCTGGATCTAAGTCGCTCTTCAAAATAATTGTTCTTGGGTTGAAGAGGAGTCCGGAATTTGCGTGAATCTTGGTCAGCTGAACTCTCTGGAACTGCTGGAACTCAACTCTGGAAACTCAACTCTGGAGACTGCTGGAGCCCGAACTGATTTCTGCTCGTAGGGGCTTCGCTTTTATGGACGCCGGCCAAAACCGGGGTGGGTCTGTCGGCGTCGGGGGTTCCTCGATAATTCTAAATACATATCCACCTCTTTTTATTTCTGGTTGGGATTTTTCCAATTTTTCCATTTTTGGGAACCTTTCCTCCTCCCACCTTCTCACCATACTTCAGAGGGGTGAACTGCCTCCCCACTTCTTCGTAGCAGCTTCTCATACCTATACTCTGGATGAGGCGTCGACAGCCTCCTTCGTGCGTCACGTGATCACCACTTGACCAATGATGTCTGAGTCGGGCGTGGACGAATCCGCGGCTTTGTTTCAGGAAGAAAAAAAAATATCTTGCTTAACCAAAAAAATTATCTTTCCTCCTCCCTCTTGCGTCACGTGATCACCACTTGACCAATGAAGTCTTAGTCGGGCGTGGACGAATCCGCGGCTTTGTTTCAGGAAGAAAAAAAATATCTCGCTTAACTAAAAAAAAATTATCTCTTCTCTTTCCCTTTTCTTCCTCTTAATCGCCGTTATCATTTTTCTAGCCGCAAAACGGGACAATATGACAATGGCAGTCATAACTCTTGTTCTACACGTGGTTTTTGTCAGGTATTTTATCGCTAATTATCAGAATGGGCGGTCTTCTTAACACGGCCTCAAAAAAGAAACATCCCCAAAGTTTCAGTCAGTCTGTCGCCTCGAAGAAAGAAGAAAAAACACTTCTATGTCCCCATTCATTTTCTTTCGGTAAATATTTCTGATAACATAATTTTATTATCGTAGGCCAAAGAAGTTCTGCGGCAAGAAAATCGATCAGTGTGTCGCGATTAATTTTTCTATATCTACCCAAAGCCCTGTAGTTACACCTGTGTTTTGTCAATTATCAAAATTAACGTTTTCAATCTTTGGCGAACATTTCTTGATAACATAATTTTATTATCGCAGGCATAAAGATGTTCTGCGGCAAGAAAATCGGTCAGTGTGGTTACTTCGTGTGTGTCGCGATTAATTTTTCCATATCTGTCCAAAGTCCCTTTTAGTTGCCTGTTTTTCGTCACTTATCGAAATAACATTTTCACTTGAATTTTTCTTTGGCCAGTCGACCAGCCGTTTGTTTACGTAGCCCTAGATAACACAGCCGTTATCAAAACACATCTGATTCTTTCTTTCTTTCCCTTTCTTTTTACTCAGAATGTCCCTGTCATTGTAATGACACCCTTTCGCCATTTGTTACTTATCAGTATATTCATTGTCTCTTAGCCGTGTGTGTGTCTGCTTATCACCCACGATTCGTCTCGCCTTTCTTTCTGCCTTCTTTTCTTTCTTTTCCTTTTCTGCCTCGTAAATGGTGCCACATTCCAATGACGAGAGGTGTGAGATATGAAGCTATTGGCGTAGAAGAGACGGCTATATTTAACAGTTTCAACAGTGAAAGGGTGAGAGCGAGATGCCAGCCTAGTAGAACGATTAAATTTATGAAGTCTGGGAACCAAAGCAGCTCATCGGAGCAATTACCATGAGAGTATTTGTAAAAAAGACAGAGGGAGGCGACGGCAAGTCTGTGAGAGAGCGACTGCAGACGAGATGCCAGATCAGGGCCAATTACGTTGCATATCCGTCTCTGGATCTTATCAAGAACCTTGAGACAAACAGAAGGGTCTCGAGACCATATATGGCAGCAATACTCCATGCAAGGGCGAATGGTTGATTTGTAGATTTGAAGGATCGATTTCGGCGAGAAAAATTTCCTGGCGCTGCACAGGGAGCCAACTTTCCTTGCGGTGGACGAAAACATACTGTAAACAAGAGTTAGAAAAGGAAACAGCGATATAATGATGTAAAATCAGACAGAAATCAGTCGAAGGTTTTCGTTGTAGTTAGTTTTATTCATTTCAGAATCAGGAACCTCCAGCAAATCGGTGAGAATGTTAATAATGAGAACAAGACATGGTCAAAATGGATGGAATGGCACCAAAACATACGCAGCATTTATGAACTACGCAAAAACTCCAAAAGCAGACAATTCGATGGCGAGGCGTCATATCTGGAATTGCTCTCCATAGACTAACAAAAGTCACAGCAGCAATCCATCCATTCATCTACGTACGTATCTATCTATCTATCTATCTATCTATCTATCTATCTATCTCATTTTGTTCATTATCTATCTATCTATCTATCTATCTATCTCATTTTGTTCATTATCTATCTATCTATCTATCTATCTATCTCATTTTGTTCATTATCTATCTATCTATCTATCTATCTCATTTTGTTCATTATCTATCTATCTATCTATCTATCTCATTTTGTTCATTATCTATCTATCTATCTATCTATCTATCTCATTTTGTTCATTATCTATCTATCTATCTCATTTTGTTCATTATCTATCTATCTATCTATCTATCTCTTTCAGTATGTTCATTATTTCTCTATTTATCTTTCTATCTATCTGTGTGCCTGTCTATGTATTTCAGTATATTCATATATATCTATCATTACGATCAGTATGTTCATATCTATGTATATTTCTATCTATATCATACTATATTAGTATATTGCTACCTATCTATCTATATATATGTGTGCGTGTGTGTTTGTCTGTTCATATCTATCTACCTACCTATCTAGCTAGCTAGCTAGATATCTATCTATCTGTGTGTCTGTGTGTCTGGATATGTATCTATGTATCAGTCAGTTCATATTTATTTACTTATCTATTTATCAATCTGTTCATAGTCTATCTATCTATCTATCTATCTATCTATCTATCTATCTATCTATCTCTTCCACTATGTTCATAATCTGTCTATTTATCTTTCTATCTATCTCTGTGCCCGTCTATGTATTTAAGTATATTCATACATATCTATGACTACGATCAGTATGTTCATATCTATCTATATTTCTATCTATATTTCTATCTATATCGTACTATATCAGTATATTTTTATCTATCTAAATATACATATATATCTGTGTGTGTATTCATATCTATCTATCTATCTATCTATCTATCTATCTATCTATCTATCTGTCTGTCTGCTCATATCTATCTATCTGTTCATATCTATCTATCTGTCTATCTATCGATCTGCGTGTTTGGCTATGTATCTATGTAACAGTCTGCTCATATTTTTTACATCTATTTATCAATCTGTTCATATCTATCTATCTATCTATCTATCTATCTATCTATCTATCTATCAGTCTCTTCATATCTTTCTATATATCTATTCATTCCTCAGTCTTTTCATATCTATCTATGTATTTTGGCATGTTTTTCTCCAATTATTTCTCTCTATACGGATCTATGTATATTTCCTGCCATGAAGTTTACAGCTTTCACATATCAAAAAAAAAAAGCATCTTTATCAGTGACTCAGTGAAGAAGGGCGAAATCATCGAGAAGCCATGAAGACAAGATTTTCATAAGAAAGAAAGAAACATAAAATATAAAGGAATCGGGAAGAAATGAGTGTCAAACGAGGAACAAAAATGAAAGACTTTAAAAGCTGAAGTGTCGGGTAAAAAATCTCCAAAGAAAATAAGTGATTAATGAAGACTAAGAGATTTGACACAAAACCGAGCGTAACTTCATATTTTCTTAGCGAGAAAAATTAACCGCCATCTTTTTTTTTCTTTCTCTCTTCACCGGTGACTGAAGCGTCAGCCTAATTTTACGTTTAATCTTTTGTCATGAACAACCATACCGCTTAATGACATTGAATTGAAACCAAATTTTTCTCTCAATAGTCCTATCCCATCATAGAAGAATCTTCGATGTTAAAAAAAAAAGAATGAAAAACAAGAAAAAGCGAGGCTAGGATGTCAACCAGAAAATGAGAGAAGTCAAAAAATGGATTATTCGTAAAAGAGCGAGAGAAATTTATTGTTGTAATTCTAAAGAAATGGTAATCTCAATCACTGGACCTAACCATATTTGGTCTTTTTCATTTTTCTTTGAAAGTTTTTCTTTTCATCAGTCTTCATTTATTCAACACATTCGATGATATGTTGTCGCTATATATTTATCTGTCTCTTCCCCTCTCTCTCTCTCTCTCTCTATATATATATATATATATATATATATATATATATATGTGTGTGTGTGTGTGTGTTGACTTCATTGTTTTATATATATATATATATATATATATATATATATATATATATATATATATATATATATATATATATAGTGGGGAGAAATAAATATTCGTACACTTGAAAAATTGTATTTTTATAAATGTAAAAGCCTTTAAATAAAACACATCTCGGCACATTTTATGTATAAAGACACATACTATTAAAAAATAATAATAAACTTAATTAATTTTTATCCTAACAGAAATTAATGCACTTTTTAAATTCTAACTGGTGAAAAAAGTATTCGTACAAATCAATTATTAGAAAAAAATAATCAATTAATTATGAAAAAAAGTATATTCTAGAATGTTCCAGTAATGTTATCAGTAATTATAGTTAACACTATTAGCCATTATCAGAGCATTCTGCAATTTCTAGTCTTACGAGGAGGTTCTAATAATGCCTAAAGGCGAAGAATTGACTATTTCACAAAAACAACACATTTTGTCTCTTTGGAAAGATGGGAACAGTTACAGAACGATTTCTAACAACCTGAATATTCCTTTTACTACAATTGCTTCATTCGTTGCAAGGTTTAAAACTCGTAACAGCATCGAAAACCAAAGACGAACAGGTGCTCCGAGGAAGATTTTTCTAAGATCAGCAAGGATATTGGGACGCCAGATCAACAAAATCCACAGGTTACCTGGAGAAGAGCTGCAGGAACATCTGCGTGCATTAGGGATTAAAGTAACCAAGCGTACAATAAGTAATGAACTACACAAAAAACAGTATGAAATCACGCATCCCAAGGAAAACTTCACTCCTTTTGAAACAACACGGAGATGCTAGGCTAAAATTCGTTAGAGAGCATAAAGATAAAGAATATTCGTTTTGGGAAAAAATACTATGGACAGATGAAACTAAAATAGAGTTGTTTGGTCATAATTATCGAAATCATGTGTGGAGGAAGGACGGTGAAGCCTACTTACCAAAGAACACGTTGCCAACTGTAAAGTTTTGTGGTGGCATTATCATGATCTGGGGCTGTTTTTCTGAAAAAGATGTTGGCAGTATATCAATAATAGATGGCAAGACGAATGCTGAAAGATACCAGAAAATCCTGCAAGACATTTTAATGCGTTCTGTTGAGAAACTTCGGCTACCTCCTGATTGGGTTTTCCAACTGGATAATGATCCTAAGCATACCGCTAGATCTACAAGGAAATGGTTAGCTGAAAGTAACCTTGATGTCTTGCAATGGACAAGTCAGTCCCCAGACTTGAACCCAATCGAGAATTTATGGCGATATTTGAAAATTCAAATTGGAAAAAGAGCACCAACAAATATCAAGAATTTGAAGATAATATGCCAAGAAGAATGGGACAAAATACCACTCAATGTGTGCAAATCATTAGTTGAGACGTACAGGAATAGACTGTTAGCTGTTGAACTCAATAAAGGATATTCCACAAAGTATTAAATTAAGTTATGCTTTTTTTGTTTTGTACGAATAATTTTTCATCAGTTAAAATGGAAAAAATGCATTAATTTCTGTTAGAATAAGAATTAAGTTTATTACTAGTTTTTAATAAAATGTATCTTTACACATAAAATGTATCAAAATTTGTTTTAGTTAAGGCTTTTACATTTAGAAAAATACAATTTTTCGTGAACATTATTTACATTATTCGGACTATTGTCCTCATCTTTGTCGCCATATTTATCATAACGTTTCGGCCGGTGTACACGCCGGCCTTCTTCAGGTGGTTAGAATGTCGAACTGAACCCTTTATTTCGCTCACCGGGGTAGACTGTTCTAGTTCCATGTTTAATGGATGTCAGTTATCAGTTATCTCCTGTTAATTTTCCCTCTGAAAGTTCTCCACTGCCTTAACCGGGTATTGAACTCACACTGTTTGGGTCCTGTCACTTTATCCACTGGGCCATGTGACCTTGGCGACAAAGATGAGGACAATAGTCCGAATAATGTAAATAATGTACATAATACCTCATCTCAGATATATAGACAGAATTTATTTATTTCCCCTGTATATACATATATATATATATATATATATATATATATATATATATATATATATATATAAGATTAATAGTTACAGTTGAATTAGACCAGGAAACAGTAGTATAAAAATTACACAAATCTGAAAAAATAAAATAAAAGTAAAATAAACCATGTTATAAATATACGATGGCGTAGTGGATAGCGGCTCGGATTAAGGAATCGGAGAGCTGTGTTCGAATTCCACTGAAAACCATTACATTTACATACGTGGTAATCCCCTTGGGAAGGGTATGAATCCTCCTCTTCTCCCTCCAGCTATGGGGAAATAGTAGGACAGAGTGGTTTCTATAGCCTTGGATGTAAAACTGGTCTAGGAGAAGGACAATTCTGAATTCAAAACCTTGAGGACCTTGTGGCACGTAGTGAACCAGGTCTCTGTATTCAGCCCTTCAAAAAGTGCGATTGGTTCTGCACAAAGCCTTCACCAATATAATCAAATCATATGTGCTGGTGTCTGGGCTGTTGGTTCCTAGGAACTGATCTGCTTGACCCTCATACTTCGAATATGAGTCTACTATATATATATATATATATATATATATATATATATATATATATATATATATATAAAAGCAAATATATGGATATAGATCCGACAGTATAAAGAAAAATATATACGGAAAAAACAAACAAAAATCCTTATATACAATTATGCTGTTTTAATGTTAATATGTCAACGTCGGACGTTTCGGTCTAATAAACCATCTTCAGGACTTTATCTTATAAAACGCTGATCTTATAAAACTTTCAGTTATTTGTTTGGATAAGTCTTGTTCTTATGTACATCGTCTTTGTCATGTTGTATTGATAATGTTATAATTTATGAATATGTCCTGAAGATGGTTTATTAGACCGAAACGTCCGACGTTGACATATTAACATTAAAACACCATAATTGTATATATAAGGATTTTTGTTTGTTTTTCTGTATATATTTTTATTCATATATATATATATATATATATATATATATATATATATATATATATATATATATAATCTAGACATATTACGTCTATTTATTTTTATTTTATCCTCTCCAGATTCACGGACTAATCTCTTAGTGTTGGTACAAAACTGATCAAGAATAATAGTGTAATTATTCATACTGTTTTTATCTTCACTAATACTTTCAATCTCAACGTGAAACTTCAAATTCTGTAAGCACTTTATATAGAAATCACGGCCCAAAATAAATAAAACCAACAAAATTCTAAAATGTTTATAACACCAAGATTTTGAAAATATCTAAATTGTAATTGTTAAAAACTACAACTGAACAATATTTTAAACACATAATTACAATTTTTAATAAGTTTTTTCCTAAATTAAGTTGCCTCCCTTACATAGCGATATTTTTTCGAATTTTACTGCGTTCATGCTCACATATATTCATAACTTGCATTAATTCTTTGTCTTTGCAATTCACCCTTGAAGATTACCTCGGAGAGGACTGAAACTATTTGCAGAAATAAACAAATAAATAAAGAATATAGTGTTTTTCTTCACCAGATTTTTACAAACACTAAGAAATTAATCCGTGATTTTGAGAGGATTAAAATAAAATTGACATAATAGGCCTAGATTATTCAAACAAACATGCTTGAATGAAGACAAGCCGCCTAAATATGCATATATATATATATATATATATATATATATATATATATATATATATATATATATATATGGTATAAAATGACAATTGGAAAATTCTTAGATTTTTGCTGAGGCGTTTCGTCTTCTGACTTTTTCAAGGCAAAAATGAAATCGAAATGTCGTTGTTGTTATAGTTACATTAAAATATCCAAATTTAAAAAATAGACGCTTCTGTCTAAGCCTTTTTCTGGTTAATGTAAATTTCCTTTATACTAATAGTTGCAATTAGTTATATAGTTACAGGTGTGTCTATCTTTTTAAATTTGGATTTTCCACCGAATTGATCTGGGAATTTAACTATATATAAATATATATATATGTGTGTGTGTGTGTGTGTGTGTGTGTGTGTGTGTGTGTGTGTTTTGTTTTATACTTTTAATAACTTTTTAGTGACTTTTGCCCCACCCTGTACATTAGGTTATTTGTGATTCAGATCGAAAGTTTTTCAATTTAGTTTTCTTTATATTGGATCATTTTCCTGGTTTACAGAATAGATTTATTTATAAATTGTTCGAAGCGTGAATAATTGCAACTGCCATAACAGTACTGAGTACAAGAAAAATGGTCCGAAATATAAAAAAAACTTTTAAATCCTCGGTAAAGAAATTTAGTTGGTCTTTAACCTAACTGACATACATACATACACACACACACACATATATATATATATATATATATATGTGTGTGTGTGTGTGTGTGTGTGTGTGTGTGCAAAAATAAATAAAAATTAAATGAATTGCTTCTTTTTTTCCAGATAATCAATAAATCTTAATTAAAACGATATATTCGTTAAGAAAAATTTCTATTAAATTTTTTATAACCACTTTCGAAAATGTTTATCAATCTGGAATAAAAATATAATTTAAAAATTAAAAATTAAGCTTGCAAAAGTAAGTTAAACCCTTCCACTCTGTATTTTTGCCAGGGAAAATTATTTTTCGTTCACATGTAAAAATCAAAATGACATAAGTTCATTTTTTTTTTTTTTTTGGTAAACTGTGTATACTGCAGTCAAACAATATCAGTCATTGTTTATGCGAAAGTGTGCAGTTAGAAAGTAAATTTAAAAAATATACATGCAATGATCAAAAGAACTTCTTGAAGTTTAAAAACTGCTTAGTTGAAAACTATAATGACGAAGAAGGCGTCAGAAAGCTATCAAAACGATTTGGAATGCACTTCACTTTGCAACAAATTATTGATATATATTTATATATATATACATTTATATATATTTATATATATGTATGCATATATATATTATATATATATATATATATATATATATATATATATATATATACAAATCTAATATGGTGACATGCATACAAGTATAATTTTTTGTAAAATGGTTAATCATCGGCAACTATATATATATATATATATATATATATATATATGGTTTGAACAATAAAAAAAAAAAAAAAATAAAAATTTTCAGACACACTGGTTTGTATATTAATATTTTTGTTTTATTATTTCAATTAGATTC